AATGAAAGAGTGATTCCAGAGAGAAGCAGACAGAGGGGTCTACAGTCTGTGTTTGAAGGATATATCCAGGATGTCAAACTGACTCAGCAGCAACAACAGGTTAAAAAGACAAAGATAGTTAGAAGCTAAAGCCGAACTATAGGCTACAGATCACAGTGTAAAAGTGAACCACCACATCACTGCTGATCGCCACAGAAGACAATGAATATAAAGGGAGACTTTGCTGATATTGAACCAGCTGTGTGGCATCACAGTGTGTGCAGATGAACGGTGTTTGGCTTCACCCCCGTGCTGCTGCCAGCACCTGGACCCCCACCACCGGACAGCCAGGGATCTCTGGTCGAAGTAAAACAACGTTCATCTGTACACATTGTGATGACACAGAGCTGGTTGAACATCAGTAAAGTTTCCCTGCTTCCCTTCACTGGTTCCTGTACAGCAGGGTCGATCGTTGTTTCACTGTTATAATCATTACAAAGCAAAAGCAGCATGTGTATACATTCAGTAGGCTATATCTTCAGTAGCTAGCTAGCTAACCCTACACACACCGAGGCAATATGAATTTTAGTGACCTCCGATTGGCATAACCGGGTGTCATTTCCGCCGACGTGAATAACAATCTTACTAAATCTATGTTTAGCTTTAGCCAGCAGTTTTAAATTTGATTCAATGTCGCCCGCTCTGGCCCCAGGGATACATTTGACTATGGCCGCTGATGTTGCTAACTTCACGTTTCTCAGAATAGAGCCGCCAATAACCAGAGTTTTATCCTCAGCAGGTGTGTCGCTGAGTGGGGAAAAGCGGTTAGAAACATTAACAGGCTGGTGGTGAACCGTGGGCTTCGGCTTGGGGCTACGCTTCTCCCCGGACAGTTACCCAGCCTCCTGGCTGCACGGGGGTTACCAGGGGACTGCTAGCAGAGGCTATGCTATGTGGATCCGCACCGACTACAGGGGGCTGGCTAACTACGGCAGCTACTGAGTGATTTTCCATGGTGCGGAGCCACACTTCTAATTAACTAATCCTCGCCTCCAACGCAGCAAATAAGCTACATGTGTTACAATTACTACTGTCGCTAAAGGAGGCAGAGGCATAACTGAACAATCAACATGCTATTTTCAAACCTTCCAGAGTGGACAAGGCGTTAAACTGACTTTTATCAGTGTCGTGTTGTTGTCTTTTCTATGAGTTGATACTGATCTCTGCTTTCGAATGAAAGAAAACTGAACTAAACACTGACATTAAGAAAAGAGGAAGAGAAAGGTAGCTGGCAGAAACATGACGCAACACAGTTGTGTCATGTTTCTGTGAGGGGAATGATATTTAATTTTCTGGACGGTGTTTGGTTTTATGTAATTTGTAGGAGAAAAGGTTGGACCGAACAGTACTACAGGATCATGTTCAGTAGTTTCAGTAACTGGTCAAAAGGAAAGAATCACTCATGAACTGCACAGCGCTGGTCGAGAATCCACAACACTCTGGTCTAACTGTCTTCAACGTGAAATGTTTCACGTTCCTGCTGTTTCTGTATCTTTTCTCTCGGTCTGTGTTCGGTGAGTAATTCTACTGTTGTTCATTATTTGATGTTTTAGGGCCACACAGCATGTTGGGTTTGAAATATTTCAACATACATATAAAACATTTCAGTGATCTAAATGAGGAACTTGACTTCATAGTAGCTCTTTGTTCTGCTGGTGTGGTGCCCATGGTCACAGACACACATTAACAAAATTTGTCTTGGGTTGTCATTACTCTGACTGTTTTAAAGCCCATTTACATTTTTTTTAAGTCTGTTTTTAAATAATATTAGGTGCCCATAAAAACTTGGAGACAGGTTTTGCCTCGTGCAATTATTCCTTCTGTTTGTACAAAATATCATGGCAGCCCATTACAATAGTTACTGAGATGTTTCAGTCTGAATCAAAGTGGTGGGCCGACGGGAAGAACAATATCTTGCCAATATCTTGTAATTGATAAGCAAAGTTTGTTCATGCCATCATTAATACTGATGGACCTACTGTAGCTGCACATTAAAAACTATCATTATTTAGTATTAAGAAAAGAGTAAGTCTTGTGCCTTCTCCTTTCAGATTGTGCTGCTGATGGAAAGGGATACTTTATATCCCTCGACTACAGGTGTACCTGGTACACCAGAGAGCCGGAGCAGGTGGAGTTTCTGATCGACTGGTATTTTAATGAAGAGTTTACAATGCGGTACAACAGCACAGTTGGGAACTGGACAGGCTTTACTCCAGCTGGATTAATCTTTGCATCGATGTATAAAGAAAACATATATGAAGTTCAGCAGAAGATATTAGAGAGGCAGCTGATATGTGTCGACAATACTGATTTGTTATTGAATGCAGTGGAGGAGAACATGGGTGAGTGATATGTGTGCCTCTTTAAATCATACACAAACAGAACTGCAAAAACATCATCTTGTGGTTTAAGAGAAGCTGTGCTATTTCTTGATAAAATGCCAGGCTTGACAAACATGGTGGTACCAAACCTGGCAACCTCACTGTCACGACACCAAAATGTAAAGTGCAGATCCATCCACCTTGTTGGCTCAAAGATGGCGGCCATCTTTCAGTAAAAACTCTTCACCTTCTGATTTCAGCTGAACCCAACATCACTCTTACAGAGACCACCACCTCCAGTCACGACACCATGCTGGTGTGCAGCGCTTACGATTTCTACCCCAAACATATCAGGGTGACATGGCACCACAACGGACAGGAAGTGACTTCAGGCGTGACCTCAACCGAGGTGATGACAAACGGAGACTGGACCTACCATGTCCACTCTTTCCTGGAGTTCACACCTGGCCGACAGGACAGGGTCAGCTGTGTGGTGGAGCACATCAGCCTCAGGGAGCCCAAGATTTCTGACTGGGGTGAGGATGGAGCTAAGATTTTATTTTTGATTGGATCAGATGAGCAAACTCAAAGGAACTCCTCAACCTAGACCCTATTCATCCAAGCTGAAAAATACCAGAGTTCCCCTTTAACTTGTTCTGGAACAATACAGCTTCCTTTTTATGTTCAGTACAGCATTGTTTTGTCATTAACAGGCATTGTGTATTCTGCACATATATAACAGATTTTTCTCTTGTCATTTTGTTGCAGACTCTTCCTTTAATCAGTCTGAGAGGAGCTTCGTGATTGGTGGAGTTTGTGCTCTGCTGTTGGGAGCAGTGATTCTGTCCTCAGGACTGATCCACTACAGGAGGAGACGCTCTGTAATCTGATAGAAAACCTGTTAAATCAGCCAGTCCTTCTGGATATTTCCAACCTGGACCTAATTTTACTCTCACTGGAAAAATAATAAACCCATACAACTTTATTTACATCACACATTTTATACAGAAACATGCAACAGAATGTGAGGTGAGAGTGATTCAAGCAGTCTCACATCAGCGTCTTCTCTTTTCTGTGAGTTGATGATCTCTGATCTTTCAAATGAAAGAAAACTTTAAAATAAACACTGACATTAAGAAAAGAGAAAGAAAGCTGACAAACTAAAACACAGTTGAATCAGGCGTCTGTGAGGGGCTTGAAAAAAGGACGAGAGGAGTCAGCTGAGGAATGATACTTTAGTTTTCTGGGCGGTGTTTAGTTTCAGCTTCTCGTGAGAAGTCTGACATGTTTTCAGGATCCAAACTTTTTGAACTTGTTCATAAAAGTTGTGACTTACTATGAAATGACCAGAGTTTGTATTCACTGACACTCTGAACTCAACAAAGACTCTCTATGAATGCCTCAACAATACAATAAAAAAAAGTTTTAAAGAGTGGATGCTGTTGTAAAAACAAATGAAACACATTGATGCATTTATGAAGAATGTTTCAGAATGATGTTGTTGTTGTTGTAGATGTTTATAAAAATGAATTTCATATTGCACATTGGTGGTTAATAAATCTAATATTTTGGAGAACAGGTTGGACCGAACAGTACTACAGGATCATGTTCAGTAGTTTCAGTAACTGGTCAAAAGAAAAGAATCACTCATGAACTGCACAGCGCTGGTCGAGAATCCACAACACTCTGGTCTAACTGTCTTCAACATGAAATGTTTCACGTTCCTGCTGTTTCTGTATCTTTTCTCTCGGTCTGTGTTTGGTGAGTAATTCTACTGTTGTTCATTATTTGATGTTTTAGGGCCACACAGCATGTCGGGGTTAAAATATTGACATTGGTATCCCTGAAAGTCAAATGGTTTTAGATAGACCATGTGCATCCTAATTGTCTGAGGCAGTTTTTATACGCAGTTAACACAGTGTGATTCACAGAATAATTACTTATGTTCTATAAAACTGACAGGACACAAGACAACTGCTATTCTGGTACAGGGAATATTTTAATAACATTTATTTATTTTTTATGAGACAAACACAAATATATTTTACAATGTATCTTAGTAACTTTATCTGTGAAGTCTGTTTTGCTGCTAATACTTGTGTTCCTCTAATTATGAATAAAAATATAAATGTGTCTGTGGTGCAGTGGTTGTGTTGTGGCTTGTCACCATTTTGGTCCTGTTTATCCCTTCATCCCTGCTGCAGCATTATGGTTATAAAGTAACAAAAGTCATTTATTAACTCTAGTAGAATAGTAGACGTTGTCAATGTCCTGGCAGATTTGGGGCGTCTAATTTCCCCTTTTTTATTTTTGTATGCATTTCAATGATCTGAATGAGGAAGTTAAACTTCATAGCAGCTTTCTGCTCTGCTGGTGTGGTGCTTGTGGTCACAGAGACACATTAATAAAAACAATATCAGGTGCCCATAAAAACTTGGAGACAGGTTTTGCCTCGTGCAATCATTCCTTCTGTCTGTACAAAATATCATGGCAGCCCATTACAATAGTTACTGAGATGTTTTAGTCTGAATCAAAGTGGTGGGCCGACGGGAAGAACAATATCTTGCCAATATCTTGTAATTGATAAGCAAAGTTTGTTCATGCCATCATTAATACTGATGGACCTACTGTAGCTGCACATTAAAAACTATCATTATTTAGTATTAAGAAAAGAGTAAGTCTTGTGCCTTCTCCTTTCAGATTGTGCTGCTGATGGAAAGGGATACTTCATATTCATTGACAACTGGTGTGCCAGGTACACCAGAGAGCCGGAGCAGGTGGAGTATCTGATCGACTGGCATTTAAATGAAGAGTTTACGATGCGGTACAACAGCACAGTCGGGAACTGGACAGGCTTTACTCCAGCTGGATTAATCTTTGCATTGATGTATAATGAAAACATATATGATGTTAAGCAGAGGAAATTGGAGAGGCAGCTGATATGTGTCGACAATACTGATTCGTTATTGAATGCAGTGGAGGAGAACATGGGTGAGTGATATGTGTGCCTCTTTAAATCATACACAAACAGAACTGCAAATATATAATTTTGTGGTTTAAGAGTAGCTGTGCCATTTCTTGATAAAATGCCAGGCTTGACAAGCATGGTGGTACCAAACCTGGCAACCTCACTGTCACGACACCAAGATATAAAGTGCAGATCCATCCACCTTGTTGGCTCAAAGATGGCGGCCATCTTTCAGTGAAAACTCTTCACCTTCTGATTTCAGCTGAACCCAACATCACTCTTACAGAGACCACCACCTCCAGTCACGACACCATGCTGGTGTGCAGCGCTTACGATTTCTACCCCAAACATATCAGGGTGACATGGCACAGCAACGGACAGGAAGTGACTTCAGGCGTGACCTCAACCGAGGTGATGACAAACGGAGACTGGACCTACCATGTCCACTCTTTCCTGGAGTTCACACCTGGCCAACAGGACAGGGTCAGCTGTGTGGTGGAGCACATCAGCCTCAGGGAGCCCAAGATTTCTGACTGGGGTGAGGATGGAGCTAAGATTTTATTTTTGATTGGNTTACTATCCGACTGGTCATCAGTTACTTGAATACATTGTCATCCATCATTGTGGCTTCTGGCAGCTGTTAATCAACTGTCTATCTGTCATCTGTTTGCGTCTCAGTTGATGTGACGTATCATCCGCTGCGCCCCTTTGTGATGGTCCAACAAGCTGTCAGAGTAAGCATGGAGCCCACACTGTAACTAACTGCACAGTAGCTAGCTAGCTAACCCTACACTTTTCAGGGTTTGATTTTGGTTTTGGAACAGGGAAGAAACATATATCTTTTTCCAACCTCTCCAGGTAACCAGTATCATTAATACACGACGTGCCCCAGGCACAACATTTAGCTCCAAATCCACAAAACCAGCCTGAATATGCCTGAATGCCTGATGCTACCTTATGATTGGTCAGACTATGCAAAGGGTCAGTTGTGGGTCAGAATAGTCAGAGAAGCATGCTGGCTTACATACTGCAAATCAGACCAGATGTAGTAGAACATCCTGCTATTTTTGACATACTATATTTGACATACTATGTATTGGGACATACTAAATGTTTTCCTGGCGTACTATATAGTATGGTAGTATGGGTACTGGAACACACAGTAGGTTTACCCTATCTACACGTCAACACTGAAAACAGACTTAAATCTTCATCCTGGATGGAGTTTTACAAAAGATTTATTTTCAGCAACCTAAAATACAGCTTGTGTGTGAATGTACCACATGGAAAAAACTATTTTCAAACCTTCCAGAGTGGACAAGGCGTTAAACTGACTCTTATCAGTGTCTTTCTTTATTGTTGTGTTGTTGTCTTTTCAATGAGTTGATACTGATCTCTGCTTTCGAATGAAAGAAAACTGAACTAAACACTGACAATAAGAAAAGAGGAAAAGAGAGGTAGCTGGCAGACACATGACGCAACTGTGTTGCGTCATGTGTCCGTGAGGGGAATGATATTTAATTTTCTGGGCGGTGTTTGGTTTTATGTAATTTGTAGGAGAAAATGTTGGACTGCACAGTACTAAAGGATCATGTTCAGTAGTTTGGTGGAGAATCCACAACACTCTGGTCTAACTGTCATCAACATGAAATGTTTCACGTTCCTGCTGTTTCTGTATCTTTTCTCTCGGTCTGTGTTTGGTGAGTAATTCTAATGTTGTTCATTATTTGATGTTTTAGGGCCACACAGCATGTCGGGGTTAAAATATTGACATTGGTATCCCTGAAAGTCAAATGGTTTTAGATAGACCATGTGCATCCTAATTGTCTGAGGCAGTTTTTATACGCAGTTAACACAGTGTGATTCACAGAATAATTACTTATGTTCTATAAAACTGACAGGACACAAGACAACTGCTATTCTGGTACAGGGAATATTTTACTAACGTTTATTTATCTCACACAAGACAAATACAATTTTAAAATGTATCTTGGTAACTTTATCTGTTTTGTCTTTTTGCTGCTAATACTTGTGTTCCTCTAATTATGAATAAAAATATAAATGTATCTGTGGTGAAGTGGTTGTGTTGTGGCTTGTCACCATTTTGGCCCCGTTTATCCCTTCATCCCTGCTGCAGCATTACGGTCGTAAAGTCACAAAAGTCATTTAGAAACTCTGGTAGAATAGTAGACGTCAGTGTCCTGGCAGATTCGAGACGTATCATTTCCCCCTTTTCATCTTTGCATGCATTTCAGTGATCTGAATGAGGAAGTTAAAGTTCATAGCCAGTGGCAGCGGCAGCCGATTTTTACTGTTTTACTGGAGGTGCTGGGGGGGCTTGACTATTAATTGGATGTACTAAGGAGTTGTGGATATAGCCTACCAATATAAGCACGCAGAGTCCAAATCAACAAAAATCATGCACATTGTGGAATTAGAGGGACCACCAACAACAACCATCTTTGAACAACACATTTTTATTTTAATTTTGCTGGGCTCCACAGTCATCCAGGCAACCCTGGATATAGCAGCACCTGAGAGAGAGAGAGAGAGAGAGAGAGAGAGAGAGATTTCACAGGCCATAATACACACACTGAGCAATACAAAAGAACGACAGCTCACTGTCCATAACAGCACCCAGTGACACAGTCCTTGGTCCTGAAACGGCCCTCACTAACACATCACAACAACACTATCGACTATGCCTGAGTATAATAAAAATTAATCCCTGTACTGCGCCTATGGCAGGCTAATATATTGTTACTCACCACTAGACATCTTTACAGTAGAACGTGCGTCTGTTATTGTGATTGCTGGCAAAGGCAGCGATGATTTTATCTGCGTCCAGATCTTTGGTCCTCCTGGTGTTTATGGTCAAGTATGCCAGGTTACTGTTGCGCGTATGGTTACTGCTGTTCCTCAGGTATGTCTTCAA